CCACTTTAGACCAGCCTCACCGCATGATTTTCCTCTACAAAAGTCCTTATAAGAGGGGCCGCCGGGGAGATGGCTCAATAGGATAAGCGCTGGCCTGGCAAATGCAAGGGCCTGAGTGCAATCCCCGGTTCCACACACACACAAAAAAAGTCCCTGTAAGAGACAGTTTCTTGGGGACCACCTGCTTGGGGGCCCCCCTTTGGTCCTCTTGGACAGTTGCATTCTTTCCCCCAATAAATATATTTCGCTCATAACCTCCCTTTTTCCCTAAACTTCATTCTTCGGTTTTAGAGAACACGAACTCATCCCAGGTACCTTTCAGGTCCCGAGTTTCATTTTTCCCCTGTATCATTTGGAGGTCATCCACCGAGATTATTTTTCCCCTATATCAAGAGGAGGACAGGTGATGAGTCAGACCTGGCTCAGCCTGAAGCCAGAAGTCACGTTGGAGGAAGCTGGCCTGGGCCTAGGTGCCCTCGTAGTACCTGGCAGTGAGGAGACGGTGACGTTGGGATTTACAGAGCCAAGAACCACATCACAGTCAGGACCCCGCTTTGGAGAAGCTTGTGTGGGGGATGCCAGGGAGGCTGGGGCCACGCATCAGGGCTCTCTGGAGGCAGGCACTGCCCACGCGTGGCCCCCCGTGTGCTACCCAGAGGGGGCGCACTAGCTGTCAGCCTAGCCCATGCCTCAGGTCTCCTACCAGTGCGTCCTCAAAACTTTCCATAGCTGCAGTGAGCACACCGGCAACCTAATCCCGCAGGTCAGGGGGCTCAGGGACCCCTGAGGACTCTGCAGGGACAGGGACACGTGCCCAGGTGGCCAGACGTGGGTTGCTCCCGCACTCCTGGGAGTATGGCAGCCCCCACACCCAGCTGCATGCTCTACTGAGGGGCCTTGAGTGCCAAGCACTCTGCTGTCCTTGGCACCTCGACCTGTCGCTCCGCCTGGGGCACCGAGGGACGCAGAGTCCAGGCCACCAGGAAAGGGGGCACATGGTCTCAGGTGAGTTTTTTTTCTCGGGGATTGAACTCAGGACCTTCACTTGCCAGGCAAGCGCTTAGGTCGCAGGGGTTAAGCAGCCATTTGCTATCTGTTTTTCCTGTCCTGATACTGGAAATGAGGTTCTTGTCTTTGGCTTTTAGAAATGACACCTCTGTCCCCTGCCCCAGGAGTGACAACAACAGTGACAACAAAGGTCTGTAGTGTGATCTGCACTGCTGAGGAGGTGAGAAGTCTGCTCCCAGGGCAGGCGCCCTGCTGTTTCACAAGAACACTGAAGGCCCCCAGGCAGTCTCTCTGGCCAAGAGGTTTCTGCGAACTTCTCATTAGACCTCCAGATTCCAAGTAGCAGGTCCCTCTTGTGATTCTGGTTTTTGAGCTATGGCCTCGCTCTGTAGTCCTGGCTGGTGTTGAACTCCCAGAGATCCTCCTGCCTCAGCTTCTCATATTCACAGCTGAGATTAAAGGTGTGTAGTGCCATGTCCAGCCTCCTCTGGTTATTAACTAGTGTTTCAGAGTTGAGGAAACAGCCAGGCTATGCATCAGCAGACGGACAGAATTAGCACATACGGACAGAATTAGCACATACGGACAGAATTAGCACATACAGACAGAATTAGCACATACGGACAGAATTAGTACATAACGGCACACGTACACCATCAAATCAGATTCTGCCACTAAAACGGGAATTCCTGTCTGGTGCCAAACAGGGCTAATACTAGAGGACGTTGTGAAAGTGAAATAAACCAGGCTCAGAAAAGACAGACACTGTATGTTCTCACTCATTGGTAGAAGTTAAAAAAGTGGGGGCCGGGGAGATGGCTCAGTAGAATAAGAGCTTCCCTGGCAAGGGTAAGGGACTGAGTTCAAATCGCCGGTTCCGCAAATAAATAAATAATAAAAAAGAAATTTAAAAAGTGGATCTCAGCTGGATACTGTGGTGTCTGCCTGCCTTCTCAGCGCTCTGGGAGGCTGAGACAGGAGGATTATAAGTTTGAGCCAACCTGGACAACTGAGAGATTGAGCAAAACTATCCAAAAAAAAAAAAAAAGACTTTTACAGGGTGCTGCGGGGGGGGGGGATCTCAGTTTAGATTCAATGCCCAGGGCCCTCCCAAAAAAGAGGGGGGTCTCATAAGAGCAGGGAGTGGAACAGAGGGAACTGGTGGCCTGGGGAGGGAGAGAAGGGAGCAGGAGGGGCAGAGAAAGGCCATTACCAGCCAGCAGCCACCCTGCTGGAGGCTGGAGGTCACCCTGCTGAAACTGTGGTCCAGTGGCATTGGTCTGCAGCAACTTGTAACTAAGTCCAAAACAACCAGAAGAGCCAGTTTCCCCACAAGGATAAGCGTTCACAGAGACGGGAACACTAAGAACTCTGGTCCGATCGCTGTGCAGGGTGCTCCTATCGTGCTGCACCTCATAAATAGGCGCAAACATCATGGGCTGATTGAGCAATTCTTAAACAACTAGAAATCCCAGCACTCAGAAGGCCGAGGCAGGAGGATCGCTGTGAGCTGAAGGTATATGGTGAGTTCTAGGCTGAACTACATAGTAAGACCCTGTTTCAAAACAAAAAAAAAAAGGGAGGTGCAGAACTGGGGCTGACCCTGTTCACCTCCTTGGCTTGGCGGAAGAGGTCTGCCCCCCCAGGTTATGCTAGGATAGGGGTTCACTGTCACTGTGATAAAGAGCAGTGGCTTGACTCAGTTTCCGGGCTGCACAGTAGGAAATCGTTGGTGGGGCCCAGTGGAGCCGTCACCGCGTGCGGGCTGTGATCTGCGGGAGGGGGTGTGAAGGCGGGGAGTCCTCGGCCCGGCCTGCTTCCCCTGAACCATGCAGACAGCGCGAAGCAGAGGCCACCTCCCGTGTTCCCGAGCCGGGCACCTGTGTGCACTGCACAGGTGTGGCCTCGAGGCTGCCAAGCCCTGCTACTTCTCCTG